GCTCATGCGGTAAGGTACCAGGTGGTCAAAAAAGAAACTCAACGAGGTCGAAAAAGCCAATTGACTAATTCCGGTATTAAACGTCCTAGCTTACAACGTCAGAAGTATACTCGAGTACCAACGTCGGAGAACCTTCCCGAATGCTAAACGATTAAAAAATTTGTATCAATTCATCTGCCTAATCAAAAAACCTCGCTGATGGAACGCATTGCTGATGTCGTCATTTTTTTGACCTATTACAAATAACCTGTTGCCTCTACAGTGCTCTGTCTAACAATAATTACACTTGCCTTGGAATTTAGCTAAACACATTCATTTTCTTAGAAGTAAACAGTTTGATTACAGTGCTATTTGCTTGTACAGAGTCGGAAATATCTTTTTTAAATTTACACAATGGCCGTCCATTACCTCAAACTCCCTAGTTGATCAATTAATTCTCAGTGAGCTGTGTGAATCAAACCAGTTAAATTGCATAGCCCAGTCATTAGCCTTAAATCGGTAACACGTTCCTTGACCCGACCATAAGAAAAAGCAACTCTCACAAACAAAAGGCAGAAGGTCACTAGACGTTTCCGGTACAGCACTAGACGTAGCGATGGTTTGGTGACGTTTTTGGTGTTACTGATCATTATCCCAGCAATTCATACAAACCACAGGCGGAAAGTCACTAATCATTTTCGGTGTAGCCAACCGCAATATGTCACAAACGCGAACCTTGAACATCACTTGATAAATTGTTATTTCTTGCTAAAATCTCTTTTAAAGTCCAACCAGTTCAACAAAGGACACCAAATCTCAGACAAAAACTACACTATCACGAAGGCTAGCAAATCCTACCGTCAGCCCTCCTGATTCTCGTGAACTGCTCTGTAACGATCGTTACAGCTTGAAGCGCTCTTCTTCAAATATCGATGAGTGTAATTCTTCCCGTACGCTCTGTATGTCACACGTCTAATCCTGACTTGCGAAAATTGTCTGTCTGATTTTCGCGTTTTTAGTTGCTGCGAAATCAAAAATCGTTACGTGTCATGCACGCCTAAATCGAAAATTAAAAATTAATAATTTTGTCAATTCAAATTGACCCCATCGAATTTTTTCAGTTTAAGGATTAACACTAGTAATCGTCCAAAACAATCTTCCAGCCAAACTGCTTCCAATAAAAATTCGTTGATGACATGCATTTTCAGGTCATTCTGGTCAAATGTCACATCAGATCGATAAGATCACTTTATCTACTGGACAAAAACTTTAGTAAAACAGAATTCACAAGTAGCCCTGTCTTTAGGTTTGCCTCGTTTTCTGGGGAGACTGAGACCCAGCCATGAATTTACAGTCTTCAAAGTCTCTTCCAATCAAATTGCTTGAGCAACGTCGACTTGATGCTGGATTGTTGGTGAGATTGTTATACGAAATACACAGGATCCATTATCAATCACAACAAAAGAGGTCTGATTTAGCTCCCAGGAAGGAAGCAATTTTTCCAATCTCACAAGTAATATAATGCTCTTCAATTGGAAGAAACCTAAAACTACACCATCAAAAAAAAATCAAAATTGATAATCTAGAAACTGGGCCGACCCTGTCTTTTCAAACGGAGCATTATATACACTATTTAATGCTTTTCGAAGAAAGTAGGTTCAACGAAAACCAACGCTACAACAAATCGATTACGAACTCAAGCACAATTCCCGCGGAAACTTTTCTAGATCAAGAAACAGACAATAGAGACGCCCAAGTATTTAAAAATAATTAACAAATATTTCCAATTTGTTTTCACGCAAAGCATTCAATGTGAGAAAACAGATCTTCCCCATAAATTGAGATATCTGGTTTAAGACGAGAAAAAACTCATATGTCTGCTATGTGGTACCATTTCTGAATAATGTATCAGTTGTCTGGACGCCAGCAAAGGGTGATTAAGTAACTGTTGACAATGTGCACCGAAAAGTCGTTTCCGGGGTCTCTATGACAAACAACAGTCACATTTCTTACAAAGACAACTTTTTGAAACATGAAATCCTCCCATTGTCTCCCTACTCAGAAATCTACATTTTCCTACTGTTTCCCAAAATAATAGCTGAAAAAGTCGACATTGACTAGCGAAGTCATGTGAGCATCTTTGACGTTGAAAACACAAGAGCGCAAAAATGACCCAGAATTTTGTCTGCAATCAAATGCGCCTGAAAAAAATTGATTCCGACTACTGGTTCCCAGCCTGTCATACATCGAATCTATTCAACGATTATTTCATATCCGACACACTGCTTGATCACGATTGCTCTAGAAGTCTGTTAAATTATTACAAGGAATGCTTTAAAATCTGTTAGAATGAATCATCTGTGTACTTGGCGCATTTTATGTGGCTGCAATATCTGTGGAGACTGAAATAAACTCAGTTTTCCAAATAGAACAATGAGTTTTGAACCATCCTTGCACTGGGTTTTATATGAACCCTTGGATTGTGTTCCTAAATCTTTCATTGTTTTTGTTTTGCTTAGAACCATTTAATTGTCGTTTGTAACATTTTTTATAAACTTACGAAGGACATAATGCCGAAAACGATCAATTTCACGTTTATAATTTTGTGCATATCCTTGCACAACAAATGCACAACAATTTTAGATAGCTTAATTTCTCTATCCAAAATCAGTTTTGACCAATCAAGTTTGAAAGACTTCGCAGAAGGTTTTTTTCGTTCTTTAACCCAAATTTTACTCGAATTGTTTTCTTAAATGGCGGACTGGTATATGACAAGCTATTACATATCTGTAACATTCGCCCTGAAGTACAAACCGACGGAAAATACAGCGAGTTTCTAAAGCAACTGGCTAGCGTCTAAACAAGGCTTCACATGCTTTTAACCGTCTCTACCAAAGCAAAAATGGTTGATCAAAACTCAACTTGTATAGAGAAATTGAGACATCTAGAATTGTTGTGCATTCGGCGTTGAAGGATATGGGTCACAATTCAATTTAACAGACTTCTAGTGCAATTGTGATCAAGCAGTATGTCGGACGGATTTAAAATATTCGTTGAATCGATTCGCTATATGACAGGCTGGAAAACAGTACTCTGAGTCAAACTTTTTCAGGCGCATTTGATTGCAGACAAAATTCCGGGTCAGTTTTGCGCTCTTGGGTTTTCAACGTCAGAGATGCTCACATGGCTTCGCCAAACAATGTCGACTTTTTCAGCTATTATTTTGGCAAACAGTAGGAAAACGTAGATTTCTGAGTAGGGAGACAATGGGAGGATTTCATGCTTCAAGAAGTTGTCTTTGTAGGAAATGTGACTGCTGTTTGTCATAGAGACCCATGAAACGACTTTTCGCTGCACATTGTCAACAATTACTTAATCAACTTTTGCTGACGTCCAGACAACCGATACGTTATTCAGAAATGGTACCACATAGCAGACATATGCAGTCTTTCTCGTCTTAAACCAGATATCTCAATTTATTGGGAAGATCTGTTTTCTCACATTGAATGTTTTGCGTGAAAACAGATTGGAAATATTTGTTAATTATTTTTAAATACTTGGGCGTCTCTATTGTCTGTATCTTGATCTAGAAATGTTTTCGCGGGAATTGTGCTTGACTTGGGAGTCGATTAGTAGTAGCGTTGCTTTTCGTTGAACCTACTTTCTTCGAAAAGCGTTATATCTTGTAGATAATGCTCGTTTTGAAGAGACAGGGCTGGCCCAGTTTGTAGATTTTCAATTTTTTTTTGATGGTGTAGGTTTCTTTCAAGAGTATTTAATCATTCATGAGATTGGAAAAATTGCTTCCTACCATGATCTGAAATTGCATGTCATCAACCAATTTTTATTGGAAGCAGTTTGGCTGGAAGAAAGTTTATGACTATTAGCAGTGTTAAACGTTAAATTGAACAATTTCGCAGGGGGTCAATTTGGATTGACAATATTATGATTTTTTAATTTTCGATTTAGGCTTGCATGACACGTAACGATTTCATTTTTCGCAGCAAATATAAACGCGAAAATCAGACAGACAATTTTTGCTAGTCAGAATTAGACGTGTGACAGATATAGCGTACGGAAAAAATACAGTCATCATTGTTTGAACAAGAGCGCTTCGAGCTGTAACGATTGTGCAGCTACAATCGTTACAGAGCAGTTCCCGAGAACCAGGAGGGCTGACGGAAGAATTTGCTACCCTTCGTGATAGTGAGGAAGATGTATCTTCTCTCAGATTCAAGAATCCGAAAGGTACCGAAGAACAATTTTAGACTGTATTTTAACAAATTTTAGCTTCCCGGAATGGCTTTCGTTTAATTTAAAATAAAATCAGATCCATTTTTAGATAATGAGAAGCTAGGAATTAAGGTAAAAGGGTTGATCCACCTCCGATGGATGTGATGATTTTATCTATCGAACAAAAACAATAGTAATATAGTAAATAATGTAGTAGCCCTGTCTTTAGGAGTGAACTCGTGGTCTGAGGATACTGAGACCCAGTCATGAGCTCACTATTTTTGCTTATAACTAAGTTGATTTGCAATGTTTGACCGATAGCCTGTGAGTTGTTACGACTTCGTCTGCCCTATAAAAGTGAACCACACCTTGAACTGGCTTGGTAGAGACTGTTTGAAGCATGTGAAGCATTGTTTAGAAGCTAACCAGTCGTTATTTGCTAGCATTATTTGCCGTCGGTATGTAATTCTGTGCGAAAATACAGGAGGTGGATCGACCCTTTCCCTAAACTCCTAGCTTCCCATAATCTGAAAATCAACGTTATTAAGGAAGCTAAAAGTTGTTAAAATATATGTTTACAGTTGCTCTCAGGTTCCTTCCTGAATCCGGATGAAAAGATGTCTTCCTCGCAGCCAGGAAGGGTAGCAAATTCGCGGGATCTGCTCGGTAACCATTCTAGCTGCACAATCGTTACAACTCGGAGCGCTCTTGAAATATCGACGGCTGTAATTTTATTGTCTACTTTATCAAATACACACTGCTTTTCTTTCTGTTTATTGCAGATTTGCCAGAAATCGTTAAAAATTGTGGCTGCAGGTGTATTTTCTATGAAGATGATCTGATTTTGACATCGGAACAATTTTTCGACGTACAATTAGCACTCTACATGATTCAACGACAATAACTTACAGGTGAACGTCGTGAAAACAACGGCTATGAATTTTAGAAAAGCGTACATACAAATTAACCTACATCGGGGACCCAGTTGAATTCGTCAATTCATTTTGTTACCTAGGAGTCACCTTGACTACTCAAAGCAGCCCCAGTCAGCACTTCAATTAGCGAAAACAGAAGTGTATAAAACAAACGAATACATTAGCTGCCAAAGTGGACATAAGAAAAGTATCATTGAGCGCCCATAAACTTTTCTGATCCACGGTTCTCCCCTCTGCAACGCATGGACTACGACATTTCGCAAAAATGCCAGGTTTTCCAGTCAGATTTTGAGGTTATTTTTGGAAAAGATGGTGTGGAACATCCAAATTCTTGTCAAACACTCGACTACGTGAACATCCAGTGGGTAACGACCATCTAAATATCAAAAACTCAATTGCTATTCAAAGACCAGCCATAGGCAGCTATTATGTTAATGGACTCCATGACAAGCTTTGTCAAAATGAAAACTGCTATAGTCCAAATCAAGAACGTCAATGTCGATTTTGCGGCCAGAGTACAGATAACTACACGCATCTACTTTCACTTCGAACCAAGGTGTTGCCACGAGAACGCGTGATACTGCTACTTTCTCATAGACTCAAAACTCTATAGACTTGAAAATTTAAAACATATTTGTCTCTTTATAGATATGTTATAGTTTATTTATTTATTTATTCATACAAATACACGTCTAATTCTGATAAGCGAAAATCGTCTGTCTGATTTTCGTTTTTTCAGTTGTCGTGAAAATAAAAATTGTTACCTGTCATGCATACCTAAATCGAAAATTTAAAAATAACCATGTTAGTCGAAACTGGCCCCTCCGAGTTCGTCCATTTTGGTAAATAAGACCCTTAATCGTTAAAATCATCAGATCGTACGTCAAAACTGCTCCAGCTAAAGCTCGTTGGTAACCTGCATCTTCAGGTCATTCTGTTCGATTGGCGTATTTAATTGTATCGCAAGTCGCGCAAAGCTTCGCTTGGTCTGCGTAAGTGAAAATTTTTTTGCTCCTTTGATTCTTTCAGGCTACTTTGCTACATCGTTGAAGGTGCTTAGTTCGATTGTTACAGATATTGCTATGATAAATTTTTGATTAAGAAGTCATGTTATCGTCGGAGAATTTTACTAAAATTGACGAAGAATTTGATTCTTTGTTGCTTCAAATCAAACCCTATGTGATGGGAATGGTTGATAAAGATGAAAGACAAAAATGTGCTTCCTGGATCAAAAAGTTGTGTCAGTTTACTGAATCCTCAGCATGGGAAAAGAAAAACAGGAATAGTTACGCTCAACTGCTGTTTCATTTACTAAAACGTGGAAATTTGAATGTTGGTGTTTTTGCGCTGAATCCTCCAGAAGGTGCATTAGAGCTAATGTCGACGTCGTCCGCTCAGAGCTATTTGAATCCTACGCATGAAGCGTAAGTATGGAGCTACTTATTCTGCATATCAGAAGTATCAATATTTGCAATGGTTCTGTGACAATAGGCCTGCTAGACTTGCCCAACATTTAACAGCTCAGGCGCGTAGAAGCACGAAAGTTTCATTTCACACGTGTTCTTGTATAAGTGTGCTTGTAATCGAGAACTAGGCTTTTTTCCCGTGAACATTTTTTTTTCAAAATTTTGTAATAAATTAACCTTTCTTTGCTAAGGATGCTCAATATTTTTAGTCACCTCACTTGGTTTAGAGGTAAAGCATGCGCATTCAGAGGAACTGAAGCCTAGTTTCTGAGTTCCGGCCGGGCCTTGCTTGTATGGAAGTTGATTCTTTGGCAAAACTTGAGGCTATCGTTTGAGGTCTTAGTTATGTCAGTTTACCTTCCAGAACATAAAAGTTTTCCCCACAGAACATCTTATTTTTGATTTCATCAGTATTGAGTAGTATTTGGTTGTCGCGCTGAAAGTTGAAAGGTTACTAACTCTGATTATTTGAAGCGTGACTATATATTTGAACCCGTCGCTGTTGAAACGCTAGGAGGATATGGCCCCTCGACCACGGTCTTCCTCAAAAAATTGAGCAAGCGACTGAGAGTGGCCACCCTGGAAGAGAGAGCCGGAGCCTTTTTTCGACAGCGTTTAGGCATCGCTGTCCAAGTGGGGAATGCCGCGTCTATCCTTTTTAACCTGACGGCTGAAAACGCCATTCCAGAGGAATTTTAGCGAAGTTTTTCACACACTTTACAATCCACAATCCACGGTGCTCTTATTTGTTTTATATTCTACACAAATTTGCATTTAATTATCTGCTATTTTTATAAAAAGGCTAGTAGCCTTCTTATATTTTTACTCTGATTTAGTTTGATTACCCTTTTTTATTTTTTTTTTGCTGAATTGATGGGTTTGGCTTATGCTATACCGTTATCCTATTCTGCGTCGTATGAAGGGTATACTAGATGTTTATGCTTTTGGGTCGTTCAGGAGGAATGAGAATAGTAGCTCAAAGTTTTCTAATGTTCTCTGACACTTTGTTTTCGGCTCGTGTGGTACTACCCAAGTATTGTTGGCTTAGGTGCCGCTCGGTAATTTAATTCGAATGCTTGTTTAAAGGTAGTGATTAAGAATCGACGAAAATAGTTCAGATTCTTTTATAGATCGGGATGATTTTTTCCAGGAAAATTCTTAAAATTCTCATCTACTGGAGAAAAAAATAATGCAACCAATTTATTTTCAAAGCTCAAAAAAATTGTTTGAAACCCTGTGATTATAAAATCGTTTCATTCCTTGTGTCAAAACAACATGTTATGAGCTCCTTTTTGTGACTGACTCAATTGAAACAGAAAAAAAAACTTTCAATCTGATACACATTGAACCTCTTTTATCATAGGATTAACTTTCATACGTTTTTGATCTGGAATATACCAGTAAGTATTCGTTTGCAATATGGGAGAGATGCAAATTCAGATCATATTTTTTTGCTCGGTTAAGAAAAATTTTTAAAAAATGAAATCAATTTTTGAAAAAGAGCTTTAAAAATTGAGCTTTTTGTAATTGTTTTTTTTTTTAATTTCATGATTTTTTTTGTGGTTTTACCGGGAAAGAATTTGGTATATCTCATTCTCCGTGCAAGAAAACTAACGTAATTCTTGCTAATTTCTTTTACTTTGTACGAGTTTCTTTCAATTTTTGTTTTATTTTTAATTGCGTTAGTTTTTCTCCAGTATACACTAGTGGACAAAATGAAGTACAAGTTCACGTTTTTATGCACTAAAATGCCGGTTTTCAATATTAAATTTGGACATTGCTTACTTCGATTTTCTACTACAAAATTTTTACATAGAACAAGAGCAAATGATCAAAGCTACCCTCCATGAACTATTAAAATTTGGTTTCCTGCCAATTTAATCAGGGTCTGGAAATGCCAGATTTCCTCATCTGCACCAAGCTTTGGGCTCTCTCCCCCCACGACCTTACTTATGCATCAATTTTATGTTGTTACGAGTCCGCATACCAAATTTTGTAACAATCCGATAATGTGAACAACTTTACTTTTTTTTTAACAAAAAATAGTAAATTACAAAAGGGGCTCTTCTGTTTAGGTACGGTCGTGCACAAGCTGGATAGGGCCCATATCAGCATTATATAAATACATCAATAAACAATATTGCAGGAATTAATCAAGTCATCATTTAATGCATTGTCATTAACGGTATTTACTTCAACCGTCCCTCCTCTACAACAGCACTTATTGAATTGTCTATGAATTGCGTCTTACGCAGTGATCTGCAACCCCGTATACAAAGGAAGCGCTCCTTAGCAGCGCGCAGCTTATCTTAGTTCTTATATAGTTTATTGTTTCTGCGTAGCTTTCATGCCTTTTTTCACTACGTTTTTCATCTATGCGCTGCATTGTCCGAGTAGCTGCTGGTGCGGCACCACCAGTGCAGCCATAAATGAGCGGGCAGAAGCTGCTCTGTTCGACTTGCAGAACTCTCTGTTGTTGTTTTGAGTTTTTTGTGATTCGTGTTACTTATAGGCGTCTTTCAGTAGTTTTCGTGAAGTTTTTGCGTGCGGGTTGAAGACTTTGACATCAAAGAAGGTTCGGCTAAACCTTGAGCCCCATAATCCATTTGCTTTTACATTTAGTCGAGCGTCTTCATCAGTGGTTGAATTGTTGACAAAGCTCTCGCCTTGCAACGACTGAAGTTTCGGCTCGATTTCAACATCAAAGCAAACCTCGCTCATAAGGGTGGCAAAGGTATCTCTGATTCGTTATGCCTCATGTGGGTGTATCCACCCTTTGCACATTGAAGGGCGTGAATAAGGTCGAAAGATTGACCACATGACATGTGAGTGCAATGTTGGTTGGTTCCCATCCATATCTGAGATAAATTCCATCCCGGAATTCTGATTTATTCAGGTTAAAATTTTATCTGCTAAGAGACTGCCTTTAACCAATTTGAGGCTCCTTTTTCGGAGGCCAGCTCAAGTGCGTACTTTTCATTGTCGCTCAAGTTGTTCAAAATGTTAGCTCTCTTTTGGTTTGTTCTTTTAATTTTAAGTGTTTCAATTTTTGTATAGATTTTTTTCTTGCTCAGATATAGCTGTTAATGGGTCGTATGCGTCTAGGACTGACGATGTTTTAATTCACCATTCTAAAAAAATTCTCATAGTCAGAAGGTAGCTTGATAGTTAGACCACCCATTTTCAGTAGCAAAGAAGCGATGTCTCTAAATTGATGGCTGATATTATCTTTATCAATTAAATTTGGAATGAGATTTTCCTGCAGTATCTTATCGCAGGCCTGCATGTTTTCTGTGGTTTTGGGGTTAGTTCTAGCTAAAAATGATACTTTATTGTACCCCTTTGGTGTAACAGGAGTACACGTTTTCGCGATCTTACCAAGTTTTTTCAGTATTTTATTATGTTCTTCTTACTGAGTTTCTAAGAAAGTTTTTCATTCAGTCTCGGATCGTATGACAGAACCAAGTACTCTGGCCCCTTTCTTCATTTCAATTTTGGTATTTTTGAATACTTTTATTGCCTCATTGTATTTTTCATCTTTTACATTGAGCTGGCATTTCGATGCCTACTATACAAAGCTCTACTAGTGAACAAATCTCTACTTGTGAACAAAACTTTATTAGTGAAATTTCGGGGGGGGGGGGGGGGGGGGGGTAGTATTAAGGAAAAAGAGTCAAGCTTTGGATCGTAGTGAATTCTTTCTGGAATAAGCGGAGTAAAAAATTTTCATGCGAGAAAGTTGAAATAATCAGTGTGAAAGCTTTGTTAACTCGGCTGTTTCTTACTTACTTCATCACGCGGATTGAAAAACTTAGCGCAGATGAGGAAATCTAGCATTTTCAGACCTGGATTACATTGGTAAGTTTTTGAAACCAAATTTTGATAGTTACATAAAGAGTAGTTTTGATCATTTGCTCGTGGTCTCAGAATTTTTTAAAATTAATGTCCAAATTTAACGTGAAAACAGACTTTTCAGAGAGTAAAAACCTGAATTATCGCTTAGTTTTGTCCATTGTATGTTTTACAGAAGTGCATTCATACATATTAATGCATTTATGAATGCGTCTATGTATTTATGCACTATTAGAGTTAAATTCAATTTCATCTGCTAAAAGTTGGATAAGTTGCGCTCTCCCATTACGGACGTATAATGGTCCCGAAAAACGTGATCGACTTCGAATTTGTAACGCTTTTTTTAAAGTTCGTTCTTATGGTACTTCCTATCAATCGTTTGGATATGTACATAGTAGCGGGATAGAGTCACATATATTTATTTTTGGTTTATTGATGCTTCGGCTCAATGCTGTAGCACTTTGGTAATTTTTGGAGTTGTGTCTAATATAGAGAATTCTAATCGTTGTTTGTTTTCCTTTTATGTGAGAATTTCAAATAACAAAATGATTTACAAAATTTGAAGTTCCCAATCCTGTAGTTGGGTACTGTCAGAGTACTATCAGGGATTGCGAGTCTTGCCTCCAAATATGACTGCTCAAGTCCTTGTAGTTTTCGAGATATGATGTTTTTTGTGATTTTTTCAAAAATTTTCAGAAATTTCAAAAAAAATAATTTACAAAACTTGAAGTTCCCAACCCTGTAGTTGGGTACTGTCAGAGTACTATCAAGGATTGCGAATCTTGCCTCCAAATATGACTGGTCAAATCCTTGTACTTTCGAGATATGATGTTTTTTGTTATTTTTTTGAAAAATGTTCAGAAAGTTTTAATTAATTTTTTCTCAAAATTTGAAATTCCCTACCTTGTAGTTGGGTAGTTTCAGAGTAATCTTAGGAGTTACGAATCTTGCCTCCAAATATGACTGGTCAAATCCTTGTACTTTTCGAGATATGATGTTTTTTGTTATTTTTTGAAAAATATTCAGAAAATTTTAATTAATTTTTTCTCAAAATTTGAAATTCCCTACCTTGTAGTTGGGTGCTGGCAGAGTAATCTAAGGAGTTACAAATTTTGCCTCCAAATATGACTGTTCAAATTTGACCTCCAAATTTGACTGCTCAATTCTTTGTACTGTTCGAGATGTGAAATTTTTTGAGATTTTTTCAAACTTTTCAGAAAGTTTAAATTAATTATTTTTCAAAATTTGAAATTCCCAACGGTATAGTTCGTTGTTGTCAGGGTACTCTAAAGAGTTGCAAGTCTTGCCACATGAGACTGCTAAACGCGCCTGCTCAACGGCTTTTTCCGAGATGTGACGTTTTTTGATTTTTTCAAAGTTTCTCAAAGAAATTTAAAAAAATTTAAAACTACTAACTTGATGAAGATACAACCTTATTGTCAGCGTACACCCAGGCGTCTCAAATCTTGCCTCTCAATATGAATGCTCAAATCATTTTAGTTTCCGAGATAAGACTTTTTTTTCAATTTTTGTTTCGGGAAACTTAGGTTTAAAAAAATTCACAAAATTTTGAATTCCTAACCCTATAGTAGGGTGCTTTCAGGGACTCTCAGTGGTTGCAAATCTGGCCTCCAAGTTTTTCCAGAGGCCCATTAAGTTTTCGAGATGACGTTTTCAAAATTGGAATTGAAAAAAATTAAAAAGTTCGAAATACCAACCCTGTAATTGGGTGCAGTCAGAGTATTCTAAAAGTTTGCAGATGTTGTTTCCAATAAATGTCGTTTTTCATGAGTTGTCAAAAAATTTCGAAGCACCAGAGGTGCGTTAAACGCTAGTATCATTTTAAACCCTTTTCATTCGTCATTAGAACGACAAAAAATTTTCAAAAAATTGTGCTAGTATCGAGAAAAACAGATATCAACTTTTTTATTTTAGTTGAATAATGAGCGTGTAACGCAATCGACTAACGGTCCTGAGTTCACATGCGAGATCAAGTGTCTTGTAATCCGGAGCTAGACTTTTTTTGCCATATGCAACTTTTCTTACAAATTTTACTTGATTTTTTACTTGCTGTATTGTTGTACCTGAAAAACTTCTAGATTCCCTCCAACTTGGCCTAAAACTCGACAAAAATAGACCAGTTGAACGACATTGCAAAGCCAATAGCTCTTTCGCTTAAAATATTCCTTCTGTCCAAATGATTTCGGCTCAATTTTTTTTGGCTTTGTGACCTATTTTTGAGTCGTTTCAAGGGAAACCCAATTTTAAGCTCCCGTCTAGATCGCACAAAATGCTGAAAATCTTTAAAAGAAATTATAGTTTTTCATGACAATATTTTTGGCAATTTTGTTTTATTTTCCCGCTTAATCAGTTTCGGCCTATATTAAATCGGCATAATGTCCTTATTTTGAGTCTTTTGACATACGAAAAAAAAGTTTGTATGTGACTGTGTTTGTGTTACGAGGATGAGACAGTCTTAAATTTTTTTAGTCGTAATTTTTTTGATTTTTTTTTCGGCTTTTTTATTTTTTTTCGGCTTAATTTTCCTGCCTATAATTGGCTTAGTGGCCTCTTTTTAATTCATGCCACGAGCAAATAAAATTTGTGTGTTTTGAGGGTGAGTGGGACTTATTAATTTTTGATAAGTTTTGAGTCTTGTTGATTTTTTTGGGCTTAAAGGGTTTCTGTTTAGGTAATTTCGGCTTTGTTAACGCTTGATACTTTTTTCGATGCTAATTTAACAATATCTTGGCGTGTTTTTGTTATAGGCCAAGACATTAAGATTTGTTACAGTGATTGGGTACAGTGATTTATTATAATGAATGATTGAGAAGTATCAAAAAATTGCCAAAAAGTGTTTTCTCTGCCGAGAGAAAGCAATTTTTTCTAATTAGTTTTTGCTGGATATTTTGATATTTTCTTAAATTTTGATGAATTTTTCGTAGATTCTTTTATTTCATCATACATACATCCAAAATCGTAAACATGGACCTTAAACAGATTTTTTGATACTCTGCGAGTTTTGTTCCCGCAAGTTTTTTGACCGCGTTAAGATGCTGTCTTTTTCTTAATTTTCTATAGCCCGATTTCAAGTGTTCAAGTGTTTTGAAGGTCAAATTCATCAAGAAACATAATTTTTTAATTAGAGCTTGTAAGATGAATCCTCATGGGCTGTTAAAGCCTCGGAATCAAGAAAACTTTTGCCAGAAATTTTAGGCTTCAGATAAATTCTCTCTGTTAGTTTGTCCCATGTTCTTGCTCGAAATTCTTTTGACTGTCGAATGCCAGAAAAAGTTTGTGAAGCTTTTTTAATTTTGTAATGTATCCATTGTAGATGATGTTTGTCCTTCACTTTTGCATCAACATAATTTTTTACACAAAACAGATCGCGAATCTTCAGCAAAATGCCTAGGCTGTCGGCCGAAAACAGACTAGATTATTTGAAAATCAAGCTGGCGTTAAAATATTTTCATCGACAATATAACACACTCATTAAAAGGTTTTAAAAAAATAAATTTGCCTCCATTAAAAGTTTTTGTAGTCCATTTTATAGAATTTCGTTCAAAAATTTCCATCGCGCAAAATGTGGGTTCAATGTGTATCTTGCTTAAAATTCGCCATGAAAGTGCCAATCTTGATATTTTTTGGGATTTGTTAATTTGACTAGCATTTAACCTTGTCCCTTAACTAACAGTTGAGTGTTAGTTTGCAAGAAATATTCAGATTGTTGTTTTTGTTCCAACTTTCGTAACGAAAGTAACGGAATATTTGTGCTGGGGGTGGGTTTTTTTTTTCAGACCAATTTCGACTTTTTAACTTGCCATTTTTGACGGAATTTTTTAAATATCATCCAAAAGTTATTGTTGTCTGAGCTTGATTTGAAAAGATATTTCATCTGTTATCTTTTTTTGTAAAGTTATTGGGGTTTAAAGATAGCAGTTTCGGCCAATTTGGGACAATTAACGCGCGATATAATTCGCGCTATTAACGCATAAGCAAAGATTTAATCCGTCTTAGTTCGGAATCGTTCCAAATTGGTTCAAGGAAGCTTATTTGCCATAATTGATTTGTTAATAGGAGCCAAACCTATCACTTTGGACTTTATATGGCGTGTGGGGGTTTGATTTTCACAAAAAATCTCAACTTTTTTTAAAAAAAAATTTTAGTTTTATTTTTTTTGTACATTTAATTTTTTCATGTTATTGCTGCTCCATAGACCTTAAAAGGCAGTCGGAACATTCAGGTTGTTGGTTTTATAGAATGTTTTTGTGATATACATTAACGCAGAGTGTGTTTGTCCTACAGACTTGCCTGTCATGGCTTAATGGAGTTAGAGGCTTAATAATTCCTAATAGAGAGGCTTAATAATTCCTCAACGGAGGCTTAATTATTCCTAAATTAATGGCTTATAAATTTTATTTTTTAAATATATTTCAGGCTTAAAGCAGCATCCTTCGCAGCAGCGAATGTGAAAAGTAGTACACCGTCATGGGTTGACACAGAACTGAATGACACAACAGCTTCTCATCTTGGACGTAGAAGCAACAGCCCGAAACGCACCACATCTCTGAGGTATGACCGTGGCAACTACCAGTCGTCGGGATCATCGGGTGTGAACAATTATCGAGGATCGGGAAACAAAACACCTGAATTGAATACTGTAAGCGAGGCACAGCCGGATTATTACGACTATAGCAGCTCTCTTTCTTGGAAGTACTTAGGCTCAAATGCCAATCGGCCATCGTCTGCAGCCAGTGTTCCGATAGGTAGAGGAGACATCTATGATGGAGATCATGAAATGACGTCATACAAGGGTGTGGCCCAAAGTATGGTGGATGAGGCTAAACGGCAGTCGATTCATAAGTTGCATGAACAAGAGATTCAATCTCAAAAGAAGACTTACGACTCAAAGCTTTTGGTGAGTCGATGGTACTGACACAACATTTCCTTCGGTGCTCATAACAGATCAATACATGCTTCTGGGTTTGTTTTAATTTCAGGAAGAGAAGAAAAGTCTGGAGGCTCAGTATGACAGGGAACTGAAAAGACTTGTGGAAAAGAAAAACGAAGAAGTGGAAATGACACATGCTCAGTACAGGTTATGATTTTCCTGACTTGATTTTGAAGTTCTTGGAACTGATTTTTCGAATTTTGACTCAAAAACTGTGATTTTCTTCTTTTAAAAATAGAGAAACTTTTTGAATCATCGCATCCACAGTTTCAAAACGCATTGGATATATTTCGAATAATTCTTTTGTGCGTTTCAGAAAAAAGATAACAGAAATGGAATCGAAGACAAAAGAACTAGCAGGAAAACTGACAGCTTTAACGCAAGAGGCAGACGCAATGAAAAGAGGCAAAGATCGCCAGATAGCAGAAATCAAGAGTCTCGCTCACTCTAACCTCGAGACGCTTCAGAAAGAGTACGAAAACAAAATTGCAAACTTGAACTCACATTTTGAAGAAGATAGAGAGAGGCTGGAACAAGCACATGCAGACAGTATTCAGGAGCTGATTGATGATACAAATAAGAGGTTGCATAAAATGGAACAGTAAGTTAAATAATTTGATTTTCGACCAGCTGAATCCATTGACTTGTTGCTGATTCGAGATTTTGAGACAAGTTTGTTTTCTGAGTGGAACTTTTTTCGGGAACTAAGACCGATGTGACTATCTAAGATTCGACACGACGTCAGCTCTCATAGTAACTGAAATGGTAGTATCGAATATTGCAGTTTATGTCAACTTTTTGTTTGGTTTTAGTGAGTATACGCAGCAACAGACGACCACAGCTAAGCTAGTGGAGGAGTTGGAATCTCGTATCAATTCTCTCACAGCCGATATCGATCGAACGAGAGAAGAGAAATTTGACCTTGAGCGAAGGAACATGGAATTGGAGTACGAGTGCAGAACTCTGAACGATGGATTCCTGGAACTGAAAACGAGGTACGAAATGATATTAGTTATTGTTGATAGAATGTCAAAAACCTAGAATGAGTGAGGTTTCAGCAAAATACTATCCAAATTTTGTGTCACAATGAATGAAAATTATTCTTGCACCAAAATTCTTAGCTTGAATATGGAATGTCTTCTTTTCCGTTGTTTACATATCTCTTTTTTGGTTGTTGTGTTTTGGTTGCCATTTTTTTGTGGTTGGCTATGTACCATTGTTTCACATTTTTTTCTTCTGCGCAATAAAATTTGCTATTCCGAATGAAGTGTTGAATCACATCTTTTGTGAGTAGACTGGAGAAGTTTGAGCACAAGTACATGGATACAGTGGACTCCATGCGGAAGGACAAGCAGGAGACAGTGAACAAGTATGAGAACAGCTGTGAGAGTCTGAAGAAGACACATGCGGAGAAGGTGGATGATATGATGCAGAAGATATGTGACATGGACGACAGAATGCTGGAGATGAAGCAGAAACTACAGGTAACTAAATTATGACAGCATTTCAGGACACAAAAATATGTCCAACATAATAGGTGTTTTTGGAAGTTATTTGATAAGACAGTATAGTTAAAATACAGAGTTAAATCATTTCGCGATGGACGCCATACCCACCATGAACTCTGCTTTGAAAGTCGAAATGGAGAAAATTAAAAAGAAATTTCGAAAATTGAGAAAATTTTAGCTCTGAGAGAGTTGAGAATATGATCCATTTTAACAATTTAGGATGCTACCCTGGATGCAGATCGCAAAATCAAAGAAACGCAAAACAATGCCAAGACTGAACTCCTCAGCTGTCAACAGGGCTACGAGAAGAAGCTTAAAGAGCTGCAGCTCAACTATGACCTTGACGTGAAAGAACTGCAGTCCAAATTGTCCAGATGTGAGGAAGGCGTGAGCGAAAAGGATACTGAGATTGAGAAGTTGCTACAAATGCACAAGAGAGAAATGAACCAATCACAGTCGGCCTTTGAGAAATTCAGAAAACAGGTGGATGCTTCGCATAATCAAGTTTATGAAGAAATGAGACGACAGATAGAGAGAATAGAAAGCGATTTGAACGAATCTAAAGTGACCAGAGAACAACAGGTAATTTTGAAAAACTTCTGAATCCCGAGTGACGGGTTTTGACAATACTCGAACCAGATTTTTACTTTCTGAAAAATATTTTGAAGTTCGCGTTGAGCTTAGTAAGCGCAGATATTAAGCTGTTGTGACGTTTGAATGATTACTGTTGTTAACTTTTTCAGTGTATTTCAAGGTACGAGTTCTTTTTAATCTGTTCATATGTCTTTATTATTTGATTGCTCATGGACTGTGTTCAGCCGCTCACCAGTGCAATAATTGCATACTGAAAGTATATGGACCAAATTATTGAGTGTAAATGACCGAAGGTGAAGACACTTACGTCGGTTGTTTTTTTTTTGTTTTCTGGAAAAAGTCATTAAGTTTGGTCACGCTGAAATTTGATCTTTCGCAATTTGACTTTTGATTTCTTTCAGATCTCAAATTTATTTGCTAAAAGGAAAGCAAGTTACGCTTTCCAATAGGAAAAGTTTAAATGACGCGAAAAAACGTGATCGACTTAAGTTCAAAAGTGGATTTCAAATTAAAGATTACCTTACGGAATAAAAAAAAATAACACATTGATATTTTTCTTAAACTGTATTAGTTTTATCACACCAGCGAACTGCAGTGAGCGTTAGTGTTATACTACGACTATTCGTTTTTTCAAATCCAAGTCGCAAATATTGGTGCCTCTTATTGGGCACCTTTACGGCTGTTTAATAGTATGCTTTGACATTCGAATAGTTATAAGTTAACACAGTTGATACCTTGATACTTTTAAAATTCATCCAGTGAACCGAAAAAAGCTATTTGTTTCGAACAACATAACAATAATAAAAACTCGATTTCAGACATTTTCTAACTCAATATATCTTTAATTTTTTTTGAAATGCATAATTTATACATAAAATGGCTTTATGCTGTCCAATTTAGTATATGCATAATTAGCGTGGATGCCTTCAGTTTGTTCTATTCCAAACTATAACTTGCAAAATTGTGTCTATTTGTATTTGGTGACACTTTTGCTGCTTGGCATTGGCAATTTATTAGCATTTGTAGCTGCTTTATTGGTGACTGGTGTTTGACGGTTGTTAAGCGTTCGTGGCCGAGAGGGCAGAGCGTTAGATTTCAATTCTCGAGGTTGCAGGTTTGGAGCGCAAACGTAGCGAAGTCTTACTAATTGGAGGCCTATTTTTATCTTTTCTTATTTCAATTTATAAAGCTGCTTTTTGCTCGTGTTCTCGCTGGTGTTCTCTCTGTGTGAATAAAGTGTAAGTGTGAGAAAAAAAGTGTAAGATATTTGAAATCGAAAAGGCCTTAACAAGTTGTGTGTTTTCTCGAAAATTAAAAAATATTTTAGTATTATCAATCGGATTTTTTTTCGATTTGCAATTTTCTAACTTTTTGCCTATGTTTTCAGGGAGTCACCATTTAAATTGTATAAAAGAAAGTCAATTTTCAATTACAAAGTGACTGGAATCTAGATTTATTTTTGAGTTTACCTCAAATTCCTAGGCTGAATGGAAGGCGGATTTGCTCTCTTCAAAAGAAATGTGCGGGAAAGAAAAGGAGCTGGACTTTTCATGTCATTTATATCATTTCCTTTGGAGTAGAAAATTACCTGTTGATCTAGTTTTTTTTTTAATTGTTTCAGGTTTATCAAAATGAGTCAATATCAAAATTAGTCCAAATTCATCAAGTTTTTCAGGAAAACTTGTTATCGCTGAAAATTGCTTTCTCGTGGTTTGTCTTTTGATTGTTGTTAATTTGAGTTCATTTCCTTTGTTAAAAGGCAGGAAATTTCCACTATCGAACAGCAAAAGTGTAAAGGTCACGAAAAACGTGATCGATTTTTAGTTTAGAAAATGGAATCAATTTATCATATTTCCCAGCAAAATAAAAATTTTAGCTATTGATCCTGTTTTCTTCAATTGGGGTTTAAACAATTTTCTAGAAATTCAAGGCGCTTCAAGGCCATTGTTTTTCCTGGAAATTCGAAAATTGAAAAAAAACAAGGTCATATTTTTATTTCATTGACCCTTTTCCAATTGTCCACTGACTAGATATTGAGTTCTAATTGTGCGCATTTTAAGTTTCGTTTAGTTAAATGAAAACATTTAGTGTCCTTTAGTGGTTTTAGAGGCCGCATTTTTTTTTCAAGAAAAGTTGTTCTCGTTTGCGGTTTCCCTATGCACTGCAAGTTGCACTCTCCAATTACTTAAGCGCAAGTGGCGCAACATAGCGTGATTGATTTTTAGTCTTAGAGAGGGCGTTTAATTTACAGATTTTGTAGCGGAATGAAAATTTATATACTGATCCAGTTTTTAAATTGGGTTAATTTAATCAAAAAAGTGCCAATGATAAAAGTTTCTTGATATTCTAAGAGCTTTCAGGTGGTATTATTAAGTCATCGAAACTTTAAAGTTTTAAATATATAAGTTGAAATTTTCGTTTGCAGCGCGCACATTTCTGTGTGACGTTTCAGATTGTGTATACAGCCTGAATTCAATTTGACAATTTAAATAGCATTAGCCAGATCGGCTTCACCGAAGCGAGTTCAAATCTGTTAGCTTTTGAGTTTTATTCGGGTCTTGTGGTTGAATGATTCTATGCGCTAGTGGTGGGGTGATTAAAGCCGTATGGCGGTTACATAAGGCGAAGCACAGTGGTTCTTTTGCCTTACCTGTCCTGTTTTTGTAGTTTTACCACCCGAAGCAAGGGCATTGCAACTGCGGGACCTAGACTTTTTTCGCGTAATAACTTTTGTTTGCAGAATTCATCAGCTTCATTGGGATATCAAGTTCCTGCTTGAGGCGATAAGGGATTACGGTTCGAGTCCGGCGATAAACCTTACTTTTTGGAAATCGAAAATTTTTGCTCGCAACATTTCATTTGTCGGTCTATTGTACGCCTGTCTCTTTTGTCAGCTAAGTTTCCACGGCATGGACTTTTCTGATTGAAAACGTTTACTAAAATTGAAAAACATTATGATTTTTTCCAGCAGACAGTTGAAAGATGTTTTTTTTTTCGTGTGCATGAAAGTCTCAAACTCGAAAATGCAATGCGGATAGCCGGCTTCTGTGGAAGTAGTACAGAATGATAAATGAATAACAAACAAAAAAAGGTTTTTTTTTCTGAAAAGGTTTCAACAAACAAACAAACTTTTCATTACATCAATTTATGTTGATAGCATAGCTTATTGATTTAATGTCAAAAAATTTTTTTGCTGTTGTGATACAGCTCTTTTTTACGTTGCCTATTAACCTCATATTTGATAAGTTCGTGATAATTGGGTCATTTTAATCAGCTTTGAGATTTTTTGGATTTTCTGCAAGTTCTTTAATGTGGAAATTGTTTGAAACTTTTGCATTCATTTTTCTTGAATTTTTCCATTTTGATCATAGTTCATAGCAAATAACTCAAAGGAATTTTTCTTATGTCCAATTGCTCCTGTAGGATGTGCAGGTTGTTTGGGTGCAAAATTTTAAGCAAAGCATTTCAGTGTATTTAAGAACTTTTGGATCTCCATGTTTTGACCAACATTTTTTTCTTATCGGTTTCATACATTGGTTTCGAGAAAGAAATGAATGGAGTTAATGTATTCCTCCTTATCTCGATCCTTTGCGATGATTGTTTTTGGTACCTGATTTTGCGTGGGAAAAAATTTAAAACACCCGAAGGCAAAAGCTCCTCCCCATTCTTAATTGTCGGAACAATGATTTCGTAATTTGGATTCGTATTCAAGGTTTTGCTTGATTTTGTTTCATCCGACTTATTTCTTATACTGTTGATTTGTAGATAAAAGTATCAATCATTGTTATGCCCTGCACCGTTTTAGGCGAGTGAGTATGAGAAGTCCCTGAATGCTCTCCGAGGGAATCATGAGAAAACAATAGACGAGATGAGAGCGAAACATGAAGAAGAGAAGGCCAAGTGGGTTAAGGATATGTCACACGAGCGTGAACAGCTGAGTGCGAAGCATGATGAAAGTCTGGAAAACCTGAGAGTGAAGTTGGAACAGAGGATTGCTAATAATGTAAGTTCATTTTTTAAGCCTCACTCCGTGTCTAACATAGTTTTGATTTTCGATTTCGCTTTAGGAAATCGCACACAAGACTGAAATGAAGAAACGTGAGAAGTATCTGTCTGAAGTGGAGTCTACTAGAGACAAACTGAGAGAGGAGATTAATGAGTTGGAGTCAGTGAGGAAGCAGCAGTTGATGGAGGTGGGGCTGAAGATGGAGCAGCTGAGGACCAAGTTTAACTCGGACAGGGAACTCATTGCGGCCAAGTGCAGAACTGTAGCCGATGCAGAGAGGAAAGACTTGGTGGTAAGTCAACAAGGTTGAGTTAGTCTCAGGATCGGATGAGGGAGGTAATTAGGAGTCGGCCGCTGTCCTCTTCAGAAAGGTCAAGGGAGACGCAGAAACTGCCAGCTCTGTGGGCATTCTCCAAAATTTTTCTTTTTAAAATACAAATTGAATTGATTGTTGAACGAAATGATTGACATTTATAGGTCGTCACGATTTTTTTTCACGCTCAAAAAAGAGCTAGTTTTCACTAAATGGGATGGCGTTCAGTAAAAAATTTCAAAATTTCATAACCAATTGTTGAAAAACTAATAGCTTTAACTGATGAACTTTTTTTTCGAAAGTTGGTCAAAGTTTTTCCGGTTTCCTTGTCCTTTTTTACACAAGCAAGCGAAGTGTTTTTAGTGTTATATTACGAATCAATTTTTTTCCAACCCAACTCGCAAAAAAAACTGCTTTTATGGGACTTGTGGAACATATCCCATTATTGACAATCTAATAGAATCTGTAGTTATGTTAGTATAATTCTAAGCTTCCGTGGTGCAGGTGCTACGGATCAGAGCCGCGAGGGCTTAGACTGAACTCGGAATTCGCAAAAACACCGCTAGCTGGAGGTGTAACGTTGACACACAATTGATATATCATAGGAGATATACTACAATTTTTTAAATGGTGTCAAGCTGATTGAAATTACGTTTTTGTGCACCCGGATCTTGCACCGAAATACTTGAAAACAAAAGTGAAGAGGAACTTGAAGAGTTATGTTCAAGGCGACAAATTTTACTGTAAGAAATTGTTAAGTTGAAGATAACGTACATAGTGTCACTTTCAAAATCCGCCCTTCCCTTTTTGCCCGAATCCTCTGGAATTTCAGCCTGTTTTGTTCTATGTTAAATATCGGCCTTTTGTTTAGGAAATACACGAAAGAGAACTGAAAGACATGCTGCTGCGAAATGCTGAAAAGGAGACGCAAATCGAATCGGAATGGAGAGCTAAACTCAAATACGCCGAGGAAAACAACGCGCAACTGCAAACAGAAATTGAAACATGGCGCAACGAGGCATTCAGGGAACAACAAGAACACGAAACGAAGATAGAACAGCTTATGAAACGAAAAAACGCAGAGCTGACTAAAATGAGGAATGAACACACGCAGAAGGTTAATAATATTATAAATGACCTTGAAAGCACACAGTTCAAGGTCAAGTCACTGGAGAAACGACTGATAGAGAGAGAATCGCATTATGAACATGAGATGAACCAACTTGTCTTAACTCATAATGCTAAAATGAAGTCAATGTTGCCGGCTTCAGTTCGACAAGAATTAGAAGCGACTATTGAATCGTTGAAGTCTCAAGTTCATTCGCTGCAGCAAACTGTTTTGATTCTTCAGAGTGGCTCAGGAAATATTAGGTCTTCATCATCGCCGTTGCAGCTAACTGCTTATAACCAGAAAGCTAAATTGTCATCCGGTAAATGGAATCACGATAAAGAGAAAGAAAATGGAGAAAACGGTTCAGAGATTCTAGACAGTAGCTGTAAAGATATTTTGTAGATGTGACAACCGTAGTGTAAATTGATTAATGTCAAACCTGTACAAATTTTACAAATGTCTTTTTGTTTGCTTTCTAATGGTCTTGCCAATTTTGCTCATAGAGGAATAGATGAATCGTTTTGTATCGTTTTCACTATGACTTTTTACGCTAGCGAGCAGCTAGTGTTTTTGTACGAACGTTCTTTTTTTTCTAACCCAACTCGCAAATGAAAGTGATAATTTGGTGGCAGTTTTGCTATAATCACGATCTGTAGCATTGGAAATTTCATTAGCATGTGTTCTGTGCTTGATATTTGGCTAGTGATTTTGAATTGATAAGCGTCCGTGGTTAGTGCTGGAAACTCATTATCTCTAGGTCGCAGGAGCGAATCACAACAATGGCCGAATTTATGTTAACTCCAGGCTTATTTCTACTTATCATTTCACTTTATAAAGCTGCTTTTTTTCGTGTTCTCGCTCGTGTTTTGCGAAGCGTAGCTTCGCCTCGTTATAAAAAGTTTCAAGCTGGGAAATATATTATGACATCCATGAACTTCTTACGCATCTGGTGGTGTCACTATTTTTGTTCGATGTTCACGGCGTTATCAGATGTAAAATATAAAGCATTTGAAAAATGCAGTCAAAGAAGCCATACGAAAATGAGCCGCGAATAAATTGTATCATATGAGCTGAAGTTGCACAAATGTTTGTCGATTAATCTTTCCTTTACGAAACCACACTAATGATTTTGATTTGCCTGGCAATTTTTGTGCCAATGAACGTAATGAAAACACTTAAACAGGTCGTGTTGTTTTTAAGTTTCCTAGTTTTTGTTTAGATGATAATTTATCTTTCAATTGTTTAATTTGAAAAAAGTGCTGGGTTAAGTTCTGCGTTTTTTTTTAAATCAAGAACAATCGCCGTTTTTTGTTTTCAAATCAAAAATTGTTTCGGAAAAATGTTATAAACTATCGTTTGCTTTTTATCGGATTACTTTAGAAAGCTTGAACTTTTCTTTTGATGTAAGCTTTTTTACTATAATAAAAATTGACTTTTCTTGTAGTTTTTCGATTTTAATTAAGTGTGATTTTTCAAGAAAGAAGTCTTAATATTTGTCCACTTTCAAATTTGATTTTCTGTAACGTTTTTAAGTTTAATTTAAATTCATTCATTCGGTCAAAGGAAGTCAATTCCGTTTTCGAAAAGCAAAAAATCAATTGTTGCAAAATGCGTAATGAATTTGTGTCGAAAAAGGATATTAATTCTTAGGTGTTTAATGATCAATGATTTATCTTTTAAGATTTATCTTTTATCGAGTTTTTTCATTTTAGCTTAATTTTTCAGAAAAAGTCAATCTTAAAAGATTGCTAAAATTCGAAGAGCTTTAACGTTCATATATTTAATTCGTTAAGAGTTAATATTTTAAATTTTTTTCCCGTAAATAAATTTGCTCACGACTCATCCTGCGCTCATTCATCTACTGGGCCCGTCTGAGCCGCCAATGGGCCCAACAGGAATATTTGGAGCATGTAATTTATTTAAATATCCGGCCTTATCGAATTCTGCTTGTTAGAGCTCTGCTTTTTATGTTGGTTAAAGTTTTACCAGCGAGCTGTGTTAAAATTTGTTCAGTTTTCTGCTTGATTTTGATCATAGTCATTGATTTTTTTCCTGCAAATGGTGCGAAGCTCAGCTTTGCCTCTGTGTTTAATTTAGCAATGATTATTTTGTATCCTTTTCTTTCTATATATTATTTGATTTAAAGTTATCCCTGTCGTAAATGATTTCCGATCTTGTTATTTTGGTTTAGATGCCTCATAGAGTCGTTTGAATGGCAAAGGTAAATGTTAATCTGTTTATGAGCTTCGGGTGGTGGTTGTGTAAGAACCTGGAGTTTCGAAACTTTTTATAGCTCAAAACGTTTTGATCGTGCATAAGAAAATGTTCTTTTTTTTTCTTCGTCTCATGTTGTGTCGGCTGGTTTGCCATTCTATGTTTCTGTTACATCGCCCTGAGACAAGGTATTTTACCCTGATACAATCATCGTGTTTTTATGAAGCGTGTAATAGTTTTTTTTCAAATGAGTTTTTTTTGTGGTGAACTTCAAATATGGATATAGATCGTAGAATAACTAGTGGAGAATGCATCCTAATTCTCGAACTGTCTATTGGCAATTTTTGTGCAGAATCCGATCATCGACCTTTGGCTGATAATTTTTGTTCTAAATAATTTTTCTCTTGCTATTAGCAAGCGTTCTTCATTTTGCTGTTGCTAGGCAGTTTTCAATTTCGGGGACATCTTTTTCAGATATATTAAAAATGCTTCTTCCGGCTAGGTTGACTAGATCCCTTGTGCAGATTGTAAATCGGCGTTTGTCTACACAGAGTAGGGGTGTCTTGAGAAATAGTGCACCTCCATCGAAGGCCGTTACATGTGTTCGCAATGGATCAGGCGGAGGAAGCGGATACGCTACGTGGTACCGAACAATGATCCCAGACAGCGAACACGAACTCTTCACTAAAACAAGCAAAATCCTTCTGGCGTTAATGGTTGCCGGCTTTTCTTACTCTTTCTACTACCACCCTTATGACGTAATACCCTTTCTGGATAACCACGTGACAATAACTCCGGATTCATGGACGGACGAAGAACTAGGAGTTCCTCCAGATGACTGGGCAGACGAGACAGATCCAGTGAATTTTGGTCTAATCAAAGACCATCCCTATCAGAAAATGATTAAGGAGTAATGCTAATGATGATATACATTTAAAACTTTTAACACCGATTTGAATTGAATATTAGACTGAAGAAGATTTTTCAAGAAAAGCTTTGCGAATTTCACTTTATTAACTTATTAGGTGTCAATGAACGAAGTGAAGGCGCTTATTTAGGTCGTGATGATTTTTTTCGTGGTTTTTATTTTTATGGATATTTTGTAACGTTCATTTCAAATTCATTTGCTAAAAGGAAATCAAACTTATAGGTATCCCAGTGGACTGAAACCTATTGATCCAGTTTTCTCAACTTGGATTAGTTTTATCGAAAAAGTGTCAGTCGCAAAAGTTGGAAAAAAGCAAAGTCTCAAAGCATAAAAATGGTTTAAAAATGAAGTGTTCTGAAAAAATGTTTTTTTTTATATAGACTTCGTTAAAAGCGCTCAAAACGGCATTTTTGACAACTTTTCTCAGAACTGCCAAAATACGATTTTTCACGTAATAAAAAGCTCAGTAAATCAATTTAATGGACCTGCAAAGAGTCCTGCCAAAAAGAACTATTTTTGAAAGTCGGCCCAATTGCTTAAATTTCACAGCCGATTCTGTAATTACCTGCTATGTATAGCTGATTTGTTTAGTGTAAAATCTACTGGTTGTGATTCTCCTCATAAAAAGACTATTTTTAAAGTAAATTTTGCTTACCATAGTGATTGTAATATTCGTGTCGTATTTTCAGATCTTGGTTGTTTGTTTGTGTTTGATTGAGCAGGTTCAATATGGCCAGTGATAGTAGCAGTAGCAGCAAGCGCAAGCTGATATTCAGCATGCTCACCTTTCTCAATGATGAAATGAACTCTGACCTGGTGGACTCAGACGCCAAGGAAAGTCTCGAAGGTTAGCCCATTCCTCAAACAGCTGCGAATGGAATGCACTCCAAACAAATTTCCGTGGCTATTTACACTTGCGAGAGCAAATTTCTTGCTATTGGGATTTACTCTTATAAATTTGCAAGAAAATTGAGACGTTCAATAGAAAATATTAGTTATTGTCGTTTAGCTGCCCAGGGCCTGTAATTATTACAAACTAGAAGTTTCTGTGAACAAATCAAGTTTTTGGACTATCTAGTGTCTGCTTATTGCTTGTTGGCGCAATGACGTGTATAGCAGTGCTGCAGGCCATTTTATTTGCGCTACTTTTCATTAAGAATTGCGGTTTTTTTACTGCATTACACGAGCAATAACTTTTTCTAACCAAATTTGAGAAGTGTCGAGAAAAACCCAGTTTGATTTTTCGTCCCATGTCGGTTGAATAAAGATTTTGTGACTAATTTGTTATTGGCTTATATTTCTTGGTTTTATAATTCACTGAATAACTAACTTAACTTAGTTTTACCTAAGTAAAATCGTTTATCGAGAATTATTTTAGCGCTTTGGAATAAAACGTTAAGAACGAAAACAAAGTTTTTAATTTCTTTATTTGATTCGGAAAATTGTTCACAAATGTACTTAATTAATCTTAACATCGAAGTTTTAGGCTTTCATTTAGATTCTATCATCATACTAAAAACAAAAAAACGACGCATTTTGAAGAAAAAACTTCACAAAATGGCCGGAACCTTCAGTGCTACTTGCACAGCATCCTGCTCTCCTTGCTGTTATTAGCTTCAGCCCTCTGTTACATTATTGTTCTGACCATTGAAAAATGGGCATAAACTTTGTTTTCGGATGTGTTTTAGTTTTCATCACTGATTTTGTCTAGTGGTATATCACTTAAAAAAACCTTCTAATCATAATTCGAACTACAATATAAAATTTTCCTAGTGTCGACACGTTTTGGAAATTTTGAAAATTTAGTCTAATTTCGGAGGAGTAACGCGCTCGAGTAGCTCTTTTTAAATGGAATCTAACTTTTTGTAGACTTTTACTAAAGAGAAAACTTGTTATGCATTTTTCATTTAGCGTTAATTAGGCAAACAAGGTTTTCTATAAAAGTTAAAATTGTTTTGCAAATGTTTGTGTTCACTATTTGTTGGTTTTTAAAGACAAATGTTGTCCGTAATGCCTAACTCACTAATTTTCTATGCGATCGTATTTTTTCCGAATCACACCACCCTCTTGAAACGACACTAATTTGAATAAAACCTAATTTGAATAAAACCTCTTTTTTATATGAATATTGCCGGAACTTGAGCTAAGTGCACTGCAACCGGCCATTCTTGTTTCTTTTCACTTGCGAGAGCAAGTGTCTTGTAATCGGTCATTAGACTTTTTCCCCTGAACACTTTTCTTACAAGAAATATCACTCGCTTGTAAATTGAACCTTGAGAACTTCTAGATTCCTTTCCGCTTAGCCTGGAGGTAACGTGGTTGCTTATGCACGTGAAGGTTTGGGGTTTGTGTCCCAGCAGGACCTTTTCTTCAATAAGTATGAAAATTTATAAAAGTTTACGGTAAAATTGAACTAGGACTTTCGCTTGTCTGCTCATGTTTTGTTGGCTTTAGTTCTCACATCAAAGAATCTTCCTGTGTTGATTGCAAAAACCATGGTGATTGCAAGTGCTGTTCTTTGTAGTCCCTGTTCTTTGTAGTCCAAACAATTCTACTGGTTTCTGATCAAAGATTGAACGATTTTTAGGTTTGTTTCCGCTTGGTAAGTTTTGTTCCGTTACTATTTGAAATTGAAATATCTTGCTTGGCGTTTTTTTCCTAAAATTTCTGCTATGTAAAAAAAGTATCATGAAAATGCAAGGATTTGGGTTTTTATTAGTTTTATTTTTTGAGACGCTCTGGAATTTTTTTTCACTTTGCGAAATCAACACTACCGGTTATCAAAAAACCGGTATCACTGAAAAGATCGCCTACCACATTTTGCGCCAGCGTAATCCCATGGTATCTTTTTACTTTACCCCACTGTCAACAGTCTTCGAAAATTTCGTGGATGAATATTTGACCAATATTTTGGGACTTGCTTCGTTTTCTCAAAAATCACCTCACGCATCTGATATTTTAAATTCAATGGATAGACCCGATTGTGGGAAGCCCCCCTCCTGCATGAACGGTTACGCCCAATTTTTTAAACAAGAGTCATTGCCCTCTCAAAAGTCAAAATTTTGAGTTTTTGAACGTTTTTTTTAATGGAAAGATTTGGACTTGTCCCAAGAACAACCCTCCCAAATCTGAAAATTCGGGTTCAATCGAGTCAATGGGTTGTGATTAATCGGATACACCCAATCTTATTTTACAAAAACAGTAATGTCTCAAGGAAAAGAATACGTTTTTTTTCTATCGTTTTTGAAGTTTGAACTTTCTCGGAAACTACCCTCCCAAATCCGAATTTTTGGGCTCAATCGAATTAAAAAGTGTGAATCTCTTTTAATAAATTACCACGCTTAAATGTTTTACTCGAGAAGCTATGATTCTCGTAAAAAGTAAATTATTGATTTGTTGACGGTTTTTTGGAAATTTTTTGACTTAACTCGAAAACTACCGTTCCAATTCTTGGGTTAAGTGTTCAATCGAGAAACCCTGTTTTGAGAATTTTCTCAGCTTAAGCAACCACCTTTTTTGCAGAAAAAGTTACTGATTTCGGAAAGTCACTATTTTCAACTTTTGACCTTTTTTAGAATCTTCTAGAAATTACCCTACAGAAGAGACGAGCATTTTTTGGAAAAAAGTGTTGTCTTTCGGAATGTCGGAATGTTACAAACTTATTTTAGTGAAGAAACAATTAAGATTTTGGGCAAAGTCAATTTCATTCTTCTTCAGTATTTTCGCAAATTCAAAAAGTATCAAGCAGGTAATTCAAGCTTTAGCTTGGCCCCTAGTTTTTATCGAGAAATACGAAGATTTTGGCTCCCTGGTGTTTTTCAACATTTACTTTTTTCGATTTTCTATGTTTTTTTATGTTTGTGTTGTATCGTACGTGTTTAATGTTTTGTTCAATCATGAGCATGGTCTGCAATAAGTTCATTATTTTGGTAACTTTCCAAATGGCATAATTCCCAAATGGGAGAAAAGTGGAAATTTTTCCCAAATGGCAAAAGTTTCAAGTTTTCATTGTAATTAAACGTTTTCTATCACTTTCTAATTCTAAGAATTTGTCAGGAACGAGAACATGTGAACAAGATTTGGAATTAATTGCTTCCAAACCAATTTTAAGCAACAAATTTATCAAAAAAATTGAACACAAGAAGTTTATTGATAACCGCAAGCTTATGCTAGTTGCTTGTGATAAAAAATTCACAATTTTTTCACGATAGAATGTCAATCAACATTTGAATAGACAACTTGACAAATTTTCTCACTTTGTTCACGAAAAATTTGTTGTCGATTTTTTTAATGCAACTTTTGCATGAAATTTGGGATTTTTTTTTATTTTTATGCCATTTGAGAATGATGCCATTTGAGACGAAATCATTATTTTGGTAGTTTGCTTAGCTCGCAGCATCCTTCTAACTCACGACTTCTTAAATGTAAAATATGAAAATATAAATCGTTTCTCCAAAAAAAACTTTTTTTTTCTATGAGCTTACGAGTTGTCGGTGAAGCTTGTATACCGTTGTTGCTATGTTTTGATAATCCAAAACACGATTAAATGTGTTAGAAATCTGTGTAAATTATCAGAAAAGTTTTTAGTAGTCGAAGCAAAATAAACATTTTTTCCATTTATTTCTGTATTTAGAAGTGATGTGAGGCTCCGCTTAGCCTGTGTTTAACAAATTCAATTAAAATTTCTTGCGATTTAGAGCGCTCAGTGTATGGTCCCCAGAAAAGTTTTAAAATGTTGTTTTTTCCCTGTCATTTAGTTAGGAGTAACCATCTTTCGTATATCAAGTGAAATAGGGTGAAGGCTTATGAAATTGTTATCTAATTAAAATATAGATTTCTTTGAACAGAAATCAATTACAGAATCTTTGGTCATTGAGCTTTTATTTTGCTTATTTTATGTTTATAGTGGCGACACAGTGTCTAGAGAACGTGTACAGCGTATCACTTACCAATCCAGAAGATAGAAGACACTTGTTCACACCAACTTCCATCCAGTCCATCTTCGAAGCATATCTAGTCCAACACGACAAGCCAACGTCCCCTGAAGACAAGGCAGAAGCTGAGAAACTCAAAAACGAAGGTACTTAAAGAATATGAAGTGAAATTTACCTGTGATAAATTTTCGGTTGACCTTTGTCAATTGAAATTGAATCGATGCTCAGAATTCGGTAATTGTGGAAATGTCAGATGATTTTGTTTCAGGTAATGAATTAATGAAAGTAGAATCCTATTCAGAAGCAGTAGCCAAGTACACATCTGCAATTGAACATGATCCACGCAATGCTGTTTATTATAGCAACAGGTATGTGTCCTTGAATATCTATAATTGTGAATACGTTGCCAACTCAATTTCACCAAGAGTTATCAAGGTTTGATGACCCACGCTAGACAAAATAAGAACTTTGACAATTATTTTTTTAAATACTTATAAGATAGATGTTAAGACGGTATTGATCGAAAAGTTTTAAAACGAGATAAGTTTGCCTTTGTTTCAGCCTTATGGTGCATTTTCATCCCTAATACTCACAAGTATGATTTGATGCATGAAATATGAAGCATTTGATGTATGAAAAATGAGTGATTTGTATGATTACACTTGCGATAGCAAGTGCCATATAATAGGGAACTAGACTTTTGTAAGAAAGGTTGTTTATGGGGAAAAGTCTAGTTCACGATTATACGGCACTTGCTATTGCAAGTGTAATCATACATATCACTCATTTTTCAAATGCTTCATATTTCAAGCATCAAATCATGCTTGTGAGTATTAGGCATAAAAATGCACCCTAAGGTTGAAACAAGTGCAAATTTCATCTCGTTTTAAAATTTTTCGATCAATACCGTTTTAATATCTATCTTATAAAAGTATAAAAAACACACTTGTCAAACTTCTTATTTCGTCTAGCGTGGGTCATCAAACGTTGATAACTCTTGGTGAAATTGATTTGGTAACGTATTCACCTGGAAGTTATTAAAGTTGAGTATTAAAGCAAGTGCAATTTCTTGTAAGAACGGTTTTTTTAATGGGGAAATTGCGCTTGTTTCAATACTGAACCTCAATAACTTCCAGGTTTCTTCCTACTTAGACTGTAGGTAACGCAGTTGCCATTGCTTTTTGAGGTCTGGGGTTCGAGAACTGGCAGGACCTTGTTTTTTCAGTATGTGTGAAATTAAATGTTTGTTTCCCGTAAAAATTGAATTAAAGGACATTAGTTTGTCTGCTCAAGTTTTCTTGGCTTAGGTTGCGTCATCACGGATTTTTATGGCGATTTAAGCAAGTATCTTTGTGATTGCAAGTGTTGTTTTTTTTTGTAGTTTTAGCGGGGGCTCAAACCTTAAAATTTGAAAAGCATTAATTTTGGCTCAACTGAATTCTGCTCAAAGATTGTCGGTTTTGTTTCGGCTTAGTAAGTTTCGTTCCGTTGCTAATTTGAAATTCAAATTTCTCGCTCGGAATATGTTCCTAGATTTCCTGCATGATAGAAACATGAATTATGAAATGTATGGAGGTTTAAATGTTTTTGAGACGCTTTTGAATGTTTTTTTTTCACTTTTTGCAAAAAATTTAGTTATGAAAGATATTTACAAAAAATGGTATTCTTGTAAAGACCGTCTACCCCCGGTGTGCCTGCATAATTTTCTTGTCTCTGTTTACTTTATACTACTGTCTACAGCCTTCGAAATAGTCTGTGGGGGAATAGTTGACCCATATTTTTGGACTTCTCATTTTCTCAATCACCTCCGGAATCTGAGATTTTGGACTCAATAGATAGAATGGGTTGTGGGTAGCTCCCCTGCATGAGCGGTTATGTCAAATTTTTTTACACAAGAGTTATGGCCCTAGGAAAACTCAAAATTTGGATTTTCGACCGTTTTGCAATTTTTCGATTTTTTTCGAACTACCCTCCCAAAGTTAAGATTTTGGGTTCAATTAAAATAACGGGTTGTGAAAAATTTCCTTGCATTTTCGACTACGCCCTCGGAAAAAGCGATATTCGTTTGTTAAGGTTTTTGAAACTATTTGACCTTTCTCGAAATCTATCCTACCACGTCTAATTTTTTTGTTCAATCAAAATAACAGGTTGTGTGAATCTGTGCTGCATATGCGGCTACGCTCAAAGTGTTTTGCACAAAAAGCTATGCTTCGACGAAAAGACAAATTTTTGATTTGCTGACTGTTTTTAGGAATCTTTCTGACTTTTTTCGATAACTATCCTGTCAATTCTCTATATCAAGGATTTAATCAAAGCAAAAGGTTGTCGAAAGCCTATTTGCATTAGCGGCGACTCCCATTTTTTAAGAAAAAAGTTGTGGCCTTCAAAAATGTCAAAAGTTATCAAGGTTATCTTTTTTAAGAAAAAAGTTGTGGCCTTCAAAAATGTCCAAAGTTTTGAAATTTATACCGTTTTTTAAACACTTATGACTTTTCTCGAAAACTATAATTCTTAGCTGAAGTGTTTAACCGAGAAACCAGATTTTGGGAATCTTTCTGCAAAAGCGACCTCGATCTACTTTATTTACTTAAAGATTTTGTAAAGAGACGGTTTTGAATTTTCGACCATTTATTAGAAGTTTTTTGACCTCTCTTAAAAATTACCCTATAAACCCGAGATTAACCGGTCAATCTAAAGAACCGGCTGTGAGAGTGTTTGCTGCAGAAGCGGATATTCGTTTATTTTTGTTGGAAAAAGGCTATGTTCGTGGGAAAAATCCTAACTTATTTTAGTAAAGAAACAGCTAAGGTATGGGCAAAGTCAAATTTTTAAAACTACCCATGTCATCCCTCATCAGTATAACAATTTTTGAAAATATCGAACTGGTACTTTCAGCTTTAGCTGGGTCCCTAAAATTCTTTTATCGAGAAAGTTTTGGTTCATCTATTGTTTTCCAACTGTTTTTTTTTTATGTTTGTGTTGTGTCACAAGTGATGCGGAGCTCCGCTGCGCCTCTGTGTATAATGCTGAAATTGAGCTGTTTTATCTAGAGCTGCAGCTCACAGTAAGATGGGTAACCACAGCCAAGCCATCGATGACTGCGAGATGGCATTAAGGATAGACGACAAATATAGTAAGGCCCACGGCAGAATGGGGCTAGCTTACACTGAGATGAAAGAGTACGCAAAGGCAATCGAGGCCTACCAAAAAGCTCTGGAGTTCGACCCATCGAATGAAAGCTATAAGAATAATCTGAAGGTTGCACAGGACTTGGCGGCAAAGGCAGCATCTGCACCGCCATCATCTGGCGTGAGTGAACTGACTTGTATTTCTATCTTGTTTGCTTTTATTAAGTCAGACTTTTGCCCCGCTCCCAATAAACCGCGCATATTGTTTCTAAAATTTGGCAACCGGATTTTCAAATGGTGTCACATTCCCTTAGGCACGTTTTTGTTCAAGTCAGAACCATGTAAAAATCAAGAACACGCCTAACCCGAGTGTTACCAGCTCGAAAAAATTCGGACTCATGATAATCGGTTCTTCTACTCTTTTTTTTAAAAAAAAAATAAGGTTTTTTCCGGTGATTGAACAAATTAAAAAATGAACTTTAGCTAATTAGCGCTTCATTTTTTAATATTACGTGAAGAATGAAAAAGATTTGAAGCAAAATATTCTATCAAATTGTGAAAATTCTAATAGAACTTTTTTAGTCATAACAGACAGAGCTTAAGATTTTTAAAACGTTATTGAGCTATAGTTTTTTTGAACGCCTATGAACGAAGTTGAAGAATGGTTTGTTTGTGGTTTTAGGCGACTTTGGGCGGCATGGACCTAGGCAGTTTGATGGGTGGAGCTGCTGGCGGTGGTCTGGGCAATATTCTGTCCAATCCCGAATTTATGAACATGGTAAGCATATCGTAGCGCTGCTAATCGTTTCGTTATTAGAAAAAAAAATCCGTTTGAATTCATTGTGACGTGAGACTCCTTGTTTTGTTTCAGGCAACTAAGTTTATGCAAAACCCTCAAATTATGAACGCGTAAGTGTCTTAACTTCTTTCAAAGCACCTATTTTCAAACTGAGAGTTTCAAGTTAGGTTTGGATAATTAGCCCGTGAAACCACTAAGGCTATTGAACACTCGGCCAAAACGGTTCGTAATCTTTTCCTTTTTTTTTGTTTTTTTTTCGCCTACAAAAAGTTTTTGGTCTAAATAATTTCCGCTTATATTTTATCGCTTACTCGCCTAATTTTAGGTCGTTCGAGGAAAGCATACTTTGTATGCTTTCCTCCGGATTGCAAAAAACATTGTAATCTTGTCCTTTTTTGATTTTTTTCGCCTACAAAAAATTTTTGGTCTAAATGATTTCCGCTTATATTTTATCGCTTACTCGTCTAATTTTGGGTCGTTCGAGGAAAACATACTCTGTATGCTTTCCTCCGGTTGCACTAAACGTTAAAAATCTCAGAAAAGAATTTATAGTTGAACTTTTTTATGACAACAACTTTTTTCGCTCAAGAATAAATTTTGAATTTTCATTAAACGCCGTCGAATGTGTTTTTGGACGTGTTTTCCGCAAATAGAACTTCATTCCAGACAACATTTTGAAGTTTTTTAGTTGTGGTTTCTTAGAATTTTTTTTCTGTTTTCATCGGCCTTAGTGGCTCTCTTTTCCTTTCCTGTCTGATATCTTGCAAGGCTATTTTCGTGGTATCGCAAGTGACGCGAAGCTCCGCTTAGCCTCTGTGTTTAAAATGTATATGTGCAATCAAAATTATTGCCCAAATTATTTCGAATATCATCTTGCGAATAGTTTTATAAATGGTCTGTTTGGTTTCAGCTTTAGTTCTGCCATGCAGCAGAACCCCGGTGGCAGTGGAAGTAGCGGGGGGACCGGTGACGGGGAGCCCCCAAACATGAATGCGTTCCTTCAGATGTGAGTTGACTTTGCTCAAAACCCAAAGTTGTCATACCGCTTTTTAAAACCTCTTCTCTCTCTGCCGTAAAAATGCAAACCGGTTTTTAATTCTACTTTGGCTTAAATTGAGAGCTTGAGGCGGTCTGAGTCAAAAGGTCTTCTGCGATAATGTTTTTTATGTTTCATAAGTTCTAAGTGTTCTTTTATCAGTTTTAGTGCCTAACGGTTTAAAATTAGAAAAATATCTGTAAATGCGTGCTTTACTATCTTGCAATGCTTTAGCTTTTATAACGTCTTTTTTGGCATGTTTATCGAAATAATTTTTTCACACTTAAGCTATATCGCTTTTTTTTGATTTTGAGGTTTGAATTCAGTGTTTTTTTATTCAATTTTGAAATTAGCAACCCAACAGTGGGATGCTGACAGGGTTCACCAACAAATTTTGCCTCCAAATTGAGTACCCAATTTTTTTTAGCTTACGAGATACGACGATTTTTTATTTTTCAAAATTTCTAGAAAACTTGGATTTCACAATATATTAAATTGCCAACTGTGTAGTTGGGTGCTTCCAGGTTACTCTAAGTGTTTGCAAATCTTGCCTCCAAACATGACTGCTCAAATCCTTTTAGTTTCCGAGATAAGACATCAATTATGACTTTTTCAAAAATTATCAGAAATTTTAAATTTCAAAATTTTCACGAAATTGGAATTTCTCAACCCTTAAGCTGGTTGCTGCCAGGGTAGTCTCAAGGGTTGCAATTTTTTTCCTTCAAACTTGACTGCTGATATCGTTTCAGTTTCCGAGATAAAATTTGAATTAGAAAAACTATAGTGAGGTGCTTTGAGGGTGCTCTCACAGGCTTCAGATCGTGCCTCCAAGTTTGACTGCTCAAATCATCTAAGCTACAGAGATACGCCGTTTTTTAATGATTTTTCAAAAAGGTTAGATCAAAAAACTTCAGAAAGTTTGAAATTGTCACTACTATGGTTGGGCGCTATTAGGGGGTTTATATCTGGACTCAAATTATGGCTGCTGAACGGTTTTTACTGTCCTAGTTAGAGGTTTTCTAATAAATTTTCACGTGCATTACACGTGTGAAGCTAGTGTATTAGTACGAACCTTCTTTTTTTCCAACCTAAGTCGCAATATTGGCGCCACTTTTTGGGTACCTTTACAGCTTTTACATAGCATGTGCTTTGACGTTCGAAAGTAATAAGTTAACACAGTTGATGAATTTTTCATTCATCAAATGAACTGATAAAAGTGAATGGTTTCGAACAACATAACAATAATGAAAACTCGAATTTAGAAATTTTCTAACTCAATATATCTCGCAAGTTTTTGAAAGGCATAATTTATACATAATATGGCCTTATGATTTGCGGTTTGTTGCATGCAAAGTTAATGTGGATGCCTTCAGTTTGTTATATTCCAAATTATTACTGGCAAAATTGAGTCTATTTGTAGTTGATGCCACTTTTGCTGAATAGCATTGACAATTTATTATCATATGTAGTTACTTTATGCATGACTAGTGTTGGTCGGTTGTTAAGCTTGCGTGGCTGAGTGGGTAGAGCGTGAGACTCAAAACCTCTTAATTGCAGTTTGTCGCAGATTCGAATCCTACACGTAACCAAGTTTTTGCTAATTCGAGGCTTATTTCTATTTTTTCTTACTTCTCTTGATAGAGCTGCTTTTTGGTCATGTTCTCGCAAGTGTTTGCGAAGCGCAGCTTTGCCTCTGTGTTAATCTTTTTGACGCTCCAGAGGTGCGTTAATGGCTAGTATAATTTGAAGAGCTTGTATTTTAAGCTTGTGTTGTAATTTGACCATGCTAATACCCAAAAAGGAAATTGATGAATTTCAAGGGGGCTATTGTCATGCGCGAAGGACCGAATGCACGATAGTTCTTAAACAAACAACGACCTTAAAGCTGTCAAAAACTGACTGAATTTATCACATGTTTCTTTCGTTTTTTTTAAATACTAAGCTCTGATTGGTTGACAAAACTTTCACGCATTGGGTCCTTCGTGCATGAGGGATTCTTCAGAATTTTAATAGCCCGTCTTAATTGAACTACATTTATTCGGACTAGGGGACAACGCTTAGCAGAACAAATTGAAAGGGAGGACCCTGAGCAAGTAGCTAGACTGCGTGAACAATTCGGAGGCATGAGGCCGCCAAACCCTGAAGATGAAAGCGAAGGAGGAAGTGCTTAATAATTGTTTTATGACATTACTGGCCTGAAGAATGAGACAAAGCATCCAACTAATTATATCAAAAACAAACTTAGCACCAGAGACCACAAAGCATCATAATTGTCATATTTAATGTTTTATTGCTAGAGTTGCCGAGATCAGGATAGTCAATGAATTGTACCGGTACTTGTGGTTGGTTCCGTGTTAAACTTAATATTGTGTCACTGTTTCGGATAGTTATTTAATAAAAATGTTAAATAAATTTTTCAATGCTTTTTTTCACGTTAACTGGGTCATATGGCTGGAACACGGTGAAACTTAGTTTAATTCTAGTTGCACTTTTTAGGGCCGAAAAATTGAGTTTCTGAGAATTTTCAAAATACGAAAACAAAATCCAGCGTAAGTTTGTATTTTTGCAAGGTTATACAAGGTTTTAGCCAAAAACTAGTTACCTATCAAAAATAATAAAAATTCAAAAGAGGATATTGTAATTTAATAGCACCAGGGGTAGATCCATTGGTTCTGGCAATGCCGTATATTGAAGGGAGAGTTCCTGAAGAGGACGTCTATCCTTCCTTTCTCTCCTGGTAGCCAATAAAGCTTCAATTTAAATTAATTAAGGCAAAAAAATGGCTAAGGAGGAACCAAGAAAAGTAGTGATCATGTTCACTGCTTTTTTGCTGAAATCGCCAATATTTTCGAGAAAGTCATCAAATTGGCGACGACACAAATTGATCTGTTTTTGTTCCGTTTCTAGACCAACTCACTCGGGGGAGTGAATGAAATGTTGGACACTCGATTTGGTTTAACTAAATCAATCCAGGTAAGCAATTGTACATAGGAAACGTCATGAAAGTTATGATTGCAACTTAGGAGGCGTCGTGAAAGTTATTCTTAGGAGGCGTTATGAGAGTTATGATTAACAAAATTATGATTGCTCTTTTTATGTTGACTTCATCGAACGATATCAATGCTCAGGCAGAGAAATACTGCGAGTCTGAGGAGAAAGTTTGTCGATGCGAATATTCTGAATTTTAAAGTTAACTGCAGTGGCTGTTGTTTAACATACTCATTTGCATATTATAACGTTACGAAAAAATTTGTTGGGCAGGTACACAAGAATAATAGATTGATCCAAAAAACTGTGCAAAAAAAACATTTCATTTTTTTTTCATTTTTCCGTTTGATTAGTTTTTTTAGCTATTTAACAACCAAATGCTGTGTATTTAGCCAATCAAATCTTTCAATTTCACAATGTTTTAGACAAACTAAATTTTTGACGACCGATACTTAAAAAATTCGAATTCTTCCACTTAATATAGTTCTTAGCTGCTCCGATTCTCGAATCAATTAACGTAGCGACCAATACATATCATACCTGCATCAAAACGCAGTCGGAAAACAAAACCATGTTTAAGCTAACGAACGAAGTTTTTCACGTTTAAGATATCGTATATTGCAATGGTGAAGATTTTTTTTTCAATTTTCCAGTCAGTATTCGGTGATATTTCTCCGAGTTTAATATATGAAACTCAATTGTGGAATACTGTCAGGTTTTCCTCAGGAGTTGCGGGTGTGGCCCCCAATTATCAATGCCCAAATTTTTTTTATCCCACGTTTTAAATTTTTGTTTAAATCAAATTAAAAACTTTCACAAAGTTTGAAATTCCCGAAGCGGTAGTTAAGTGATGTCAAAATACTCGCAGAGATTGCGAACCTTGCCTTTAAATGTGGCTGCTCAGATCCTCGTAGTTTCGAGATATAACGTTTTCTTTTTTTTTAAGTTTTCAGAGAACTTAGATTTAAAAACGTTTTAAAATTCGCAGCCCTGTAGTTGGGTTGTCTAAAAGATTGCAAATTTTAGAGTATCAACGACCATCACGACTCCGACATAAAACCAAATTGGTGTTTGCGAGGACAGAAATTCGCAAAATGCAATTTATTTCATCGCATTCGAAGCTTCTAAATCCAGAAAATCAGAAAATGATTATAAACTACTAACTATTCCATGCATTCTATGCCCCCTCTATCCATTATCATTCCATTTTAGATGCAATCAGTATCTCAATATTGTAAGCATGAATAATTCGAAGTTTCTGCAACGTCGAATAGGTTTCAGTTTTTTTCTTTAGCCGTCGAATGTGTTTTTGGGCGTGTTTTCCGCAAATAGAACTTCATTCCAGACAACATTTTGAAGTTTTTTAGTTTATCTTGCAATGCAATTTTCGTGGTATCGCAAGTGACGCGAAGCTCCGCTTAGCCTCTGTGTTTAGAATCTATTTGTGCAATCAAAATTATCATCTTGCGAATAGTTAACTGGTCTGTTTGGTTTCGACTTTTTCAAAACCAAACAGACCAGCTTATGATTTTTTCAAAAATTATCAGAAATTTCAAAAATTTCACGAAATGAGAATTTCTCATCCCTTAAGCTGGTTGCTGCCAGGGTAGTCTCAAGGGTTGCAATTTTTTTCCTTCAAATTTGACTGCTGATATCGTTTCAGTTTCCGAGATAAAATTTGAATTAGAAAAACTATAGTGAGGTGCTTTGAGGGTGCTCTCACAGGTTTCAGATCGTGCCTCCAAGTTTGACTGCTCAAATCATCTAAGCTACAGAGATATGCCGTTTTTTATTGATTTTTCAAAAAGGTTAGATCAAAAAACTTCAGAAAGTTTGAAATTGTCACTACTATGGTTGGGCGCTATTAGGGGGTTTATATCTGGACTCAAATTATGGCTGCTGAACTGTTTTTACTGTCCTAGTTAGAGGTTTTCTAATAAATTTTCACGTTCATTACCTTTTGTGAAGCTAGTGTATTAGTACGAACCTTCTTTTTTTCCAACCTAAGTCGCAATATTGGTGCCACTTTTTGGGTACCTTTACAGTTTTTACATAGCATGTGCTTTGACATTCGAAAGTAATAAGTTAACACAGTTGATGAATTTTTAATTCATCAAATGAACTGAAAAAAGTGAATGGTTTCGAACAACATAACAATAATGAAAACTCGAATTTAGAAATTTTCTAACTCAATATATCTCGCAATTTTTTGAAAGGCATAATTTATACATAATGTGGCCTTATGATTTGCGGTTTGTTGCATGCAAAGTTAATGTGGATGACTTCAGTTTGTTATATTCCAAATTAGCAAATTATTACTGGCAAAATTGAGTCTATTTGTAGTTGATGCCACTGTTGCTGAATAGTATTGACAATTTATTAGCATATGTAGTTACTTTATGCGTGACTAGTGTTGCTCGGTTGTTAAGCTTGCGTGGCTGAGTGGGTTGAGCGTGAGTCTCAAAACCTCTTGATTGCAGTTTGTCGCAGATTCGAATCCTACACGTAACCAAGTTTTTGCTAATTCGAGGCTTATTTCTACTTTTTCTTATTTCTCTTGATAAAGCTGCTTTTTGGTCGTGTTCTCGCAAGTGTGCTTTGCCTCTCTGTCAATCTTTTTGACGCTCCAGAGGTGCGTTAATGGCTAGTATAATTTGAAGAGCTTGTATTTTAAGCTTGTGTTGTAATTTGACCATGCTATTACCCAAAAAGGAAGTTGATGATTTTCAAGGGGGCTATTGTCATGCGCGAAGGACGGAATGCACGATAGTTCTTAAACAAACAACGCCCTTAAAGCTGTCAAAAACTGACTGAATTTATCACATATTTCTTTCGTTTTTTTAAAATACTAAGCTCTGATTGGTTGACAAAACTTTCACGCATTGGGTCCTTCGTGCATGAGGAATTCTTCCGAACTTTAATTGCCCGTCTTAATTGAACTACATTTATTCGGACTAGGGGACAACACTTAGCAGAACAAATTGAAAGGGAGGACCCTGAGCAAGTAGCTAGACTGCGTGAACAATTCGGAGGCATGAGGTCGCCAAACCCTGAAGATGAAAGCGAAGGAGGAAATGCTTAATAATTGTTTTATGACATTACTGGCCTGAAGAATGAGACGAAGCATCCAACGAATTATATCAAAAACAAACTTAGCACCAGAGACCACAAAGCATCATAATTGTGATATTTAATGTTTTATTGCTAGAGTTGCCGAGATCAGTATAGTCAATGAATGGTACCGGTACTTGTGGTTGGTCCGTGTTAAACTTAATATTGTGTCACTATTTCGAATAGTTATTTAATAAAAATGTTAAATAAATTTTTCAATGCTTTTTTTACGTTAACCAGGTCTTTTAGCTGGAACACGATGAAACTTAGTGTAATTGTAGTTGAACTTCTTTTTAGCACGGAAAATTGAGTTTCCGAGCATTCTCAAAACACTTAAATCAAACACGAAAACAAAATCCAGCCTAAGTTTTTATTTATGCAAGGTTATACAAGGTTTTGGCCAAAAAACAATAAAAATTCAAAAGAGGATATTGTAATTTAATAGCACCAGGGGTAGATGCATTGGTTCCGGTGATGCTGTAAATTGAAGGGAGAATTTGAGTTCGCAGATTTTCGAATTTCTAAAGAGGACAAACATCCCACGTTTCTCCTGGTAGCCAATGAGGCTTCATTTAAATTAAAGGCAAAAATGGTTAAGGAAAAACCAGGAAAAGTAGTGATATGATAATGTTCACGTTTGGTTTTTGCTGAAATCGCCAATATTTTCGAAAAAGTAATCAAATTGGCGACGACATAAAATGATCTTGTTTTTATTCCGTTTCTACACCAATCACTTGGAGGACTGAATGAAATGGTTGAACCTCGATTTAGTTTTTCTATTGCTTACAATATTTTGGTTTTAAATCATAAATTAGAAGAATTTATTTTAATCGATCATCATCTCTCTTACTAAAAAGCAAAACAAAATTAAAAGAAAAAATTCAAAAAATCGGAAACCGCTTTCGTAAATATATCCTCAGCACAATTCTAAAGATTTTGTTGTCAATTTTCATCTGCTACTCTTGTTGCTATTAGGAAACTCTCATTTTTCATTGTTGCAATTAAGTTAATTGTTTTATGTGTTCATATGAACGTAGTTAAGACTCTTCTATAGGTCGCAATGATTTTTTCAGGAAAATTCTTAAAATTTGTTCAGACTCAAAGTTACTTTTTTGCGGTTTGTTTGTTCAAAGTTACTTTTTTGGGTTGGTAAGTTCATTTCATTTACTCAGCTAAAAGTAAGTCAAATTCCACTAACGAACAGTGAAAGTGTAAAGGTTAAAAAACGTAGCCGACTTCTAGTTTCGAAATTGGAATTAAATTATCGAATTTCTCAGCGAAATAGAAAGTTCACCCATTGATCAAGTTTTCTCATTTTGAGGTAAT